ATTGCTTTCTTAAATAATGAATTTCCTCAGCGAATATCTAGGAATACACAATTTATTTTGGTGGAACAGGAAACCATCAGCTCAGTGGTATTGCTCAGTAGGCTTCTCCCTACTCCCAAATCTCGATGAAATCTTTGTTTGACCCATACAACTCATTCACTACCACAAAGCGAACAACTCGAGTTTGCATAGAAGTGATCAATAAGTGGAGGCGGCTCAATGGTTCTGGCTTCCCGTCTTGTGATTAAGAACAAACTGGAACAATTCCAAGAATTTCGCCCAAGTTGCATGTCGACACTTTAATTTATTCTAGTTGTTCAAGAATTTCTAAGCCTCATGATCCGTGAATAAAGTGAACTCACTAGTCAGTAGAAAGTAACTCCAGTGATTAAGAACCCTCACAATCGCATAGAACTCCTTGTTGTATGTCGAATATTTTCTCCTAAACTCATTTTAACTTCTAATCGAAGAATATTATAGGGTTGTCTTCCTAGATCAGTACTGCTCTGATCCCTGCATTAGAGGCGTCACACTCCACCTCGAACAACTGATTGAAGTCTAATAATGCCAATACTGGTGCCTGAGTCACCTACTCCACTATATCAAAATCGGCCTGAGATGCCTCCATCCACTGGAATTTCTCCCTTTTCAAAAGCTTTATCAGGGAGTTGATGATAGTACTGAAGCTCCTGATGAACTGCCAATAGAATGATGCAAGCCCCAAAAATTGCATCATCTTCCACTTGTCCCCTGGTCTCATCTGGATCAGATGGTACCCACTACATAAGTTGATATTATCGTAGGGCAGCACACAGGTTGGTACCCTCTCAAACCAAACCTCTAGCAATGAGATCATGTACCTGTCGTTATAACTCCTCTTACTCTACAAGTCTCAGTCTGTAGGTGGCTCGATTAAGCAACTCTGATCCAAGAATAAGATTAATGGAGTGTTGAATGTCCCCTGGTAGCAGTAATCCCTCTAGAAGAATGTCAGTAATCACGTCCTGAAAATTACATAGCAGCGACTATACGGGCTTCGGTATCTCAACCTCCTCATCAATTCCCTCTAATAGAACCAAAGTTATAGCCACTGGAGCCTCTCATACCGACTGCATAAAGGTAGCTCTTGAGACTACCGTCCCCTCTGTGATGTCTACCCCTCTCGCGTTCTTAACAAGCAAAAAAACAATGTGTCTCCCACCCTTTTTGGATGAATAAGTTTTCTTGAACTCGTCGTGTTGGGCCTTGTGATCGAACTACCACGGCCTCTGCAACAAAATATGGCACGCGCCCATGGGTACCATGTCTCGCCAAACCTGGTCTTGTCGCTGATCTTCGATAGAAATCTCAACCAAGAAATGTTGATCAATGTGTGTCTCATTTTCTCTTTTAAAACAAGAGAGTAGGACTAAGGATGATTCAGTGTGGCCAACCCCAGTTTCTTCACAATCATATTAGATATTACATTCTCACAGCTATAACATTGATAATCAGTCTGCAGATCTTTCCCTTCATCGTACACTTGGTCGAAAAACAGCCATGAATGATTCAGCGGCTCAGTCTGTAGGACTCTCCTCATAACTAGCATCTCTTCCTCATTTAAACGAAGTTGAAGCTCCTCCTTCGGATCCTCATGTGATTCCTCTTCCTCCACTTCCTTGACAACGCCCTGCACAGTGAATGAAACAACTTAGCTAGTAGGATAGTTGGAGGCTATTTGTCTGTAGCCGTGATACCTAAAACATCTCCTGACAAGCACCATACAGGGCGAATTACACTTTTTAGGTTTCTTCCCAATCAAATCTGTCTAGTCACTGCCCAGCCCGGTCTTCCCGACTCCTCCAGGTGTACTTTTGTTAGTAGTTGCAAATGTAGGTGGATGTTTTAAGGAGGGTTGTTGCCTATTTTGTTTTTGTTTTTTTTCCACCTTCAAAGCTAAGCTAAGGACATCTCCAAGTGACCAATAGGGCTAGAGTTATACAACATTGGTGATAGCAGGCTTCAAGCCCCAAAAAAATTGGGTTATAGTATGCTCCTCCAACTTGACCAACTCACACTCCATCTGCAACTAGCCATACTGAGTCATAAAGTCCACTGATAAGTCTCTCTATTATAGGTGGGGGAATCTCAAAAACATGTCCTGATGGTAACAAATAGGTAGATACTTTCTCTGCATCTCCTTCCTCATCTTCTCTTAGTAATTTTGCCCATGCCTACTCTCTTTCTTTGCCTCTACAATTCTTTTCACCATAAGGAAGCACTTTCTTTCAATTTGATGGCCTCAAAATTTACCCTCTTATCTTCTGACACTTGTACTCGAAGATTATTTCAACTAACTATAGTCATTCAATGAAATCAACTAGATCCATACCTCCATCAAACTCTAACAGGTTCACTTTGATTTTGAAATCTCTGTGTCCTCTATATGGTGCCTCCTTTCTTGGCCTCATCTAATAATAAATTGTGAAGCGTTAAGGCTTGTCTTCCTCATCACTGCTTCATCATCCATTTCTCCTCTTCAACTTTCGATAACACAGTAGAGAGCAATCTCCCCTTGGGTTTTGTCTTCAAACTCTGCAAATTTCTGCTGAAGTTAACAGATCTCTCGTCTCATCTCTTCTGGATAGGTTCCACCATGTGTCTAATTGGCAACATGGTTAGGACCTAGGGAAAAAGGAAATTAAAAAAAAAAATTTGTAGGGGTGGATAGGGTATGGCAGTTGCTAAGAAACCCTAGGATATGACTAAATTTAAGCTAGCTCTAATAGCAATTGATACCGAAGTTAGCCCAAACAATGACAGAATAAAATTATTATTGTTGAAATTCATTTAGGTTACAACGAAGACTCGTAAAACAGGAATAAAGCAACATAAACACAAGAAACTCTCTAGTGCGACGAAGACAATGGTGGGTTACGGGCTAGATAGCAAGGAGGGAAGCGTATGGATGTGCGGCAGCAAACAGATGGGTTATGGTTGAAAAGGTGGGAGCAACAGCAGGCTGTTGGACCACTGATGGGGGAGGGGTAGAGAAGAAGGTAGCAAGTAGTTGGCAGCAGTGGCGGGAGGTTAAAGATGGGAGTAGCGGCAGCTAGCAAGAAACCTGGAGGGATTGGAGGAAGCAGCAGGCAAGTAGAAGGATTTACAGCAACGAACAGGAAGGAGTAGACGAAGGCGAGCAGCGAAGGTGACCACCACCTTGGAGCATAATATAGCTGGAGCACCACCAATCCTCGGATACAGCCCTAGCTAGAGAATAGGTGCTGACGACAAAAAAAGGCTGGAAACAAAGACTGAATGTGAACAAAATGAAACACACATATATAAGAGTAGATAACTAGGAGGGGGAGGCCCCTCCCCTTAGGCTGTGATCCTAGCCCATGGACAGAAATCAGTCAGCACCTGCCATCCTCTGACCAGGTTCAGTCAATTTCAGTTCAACCCTCAGGGAGCCCCAAGTCAGTGACAAAATTCTTAGGGTCCTAGAATGAATTTAAGGCTCAGAATTAGCGGGAAGAAAGATGTGGAATAGCAAGGAAGAGAAAAAATGCAAGGTTGATGGAGTTTGAAAAGGGATTGAAGAACTTTGGCGGCTATTAGGGCCGAAAACAGCATAGATAACAAAGAAATGATGGTTTCAAAGATGCATGACTGTCGAGTAAGTTCCACTACGTATTCCTGAATAAGTCACAAACACAACGCTTAGAAATTAAGAAAATAAAGCACTCCTTGAAACAAAAAAATCGTTCAACACAAACACCCAATGCATAAAACCAAAGAAAAAGCCCAACACCAGAAGAATAACAACATATAAATAGTTTCCCTTGAAATAACTCCAATTCAATTTCAAATATTATAAAAAAAGGCCTACATGCTTGACGGCAGTCTGCAGGCGGTAATTTTCCAGCTTCGGTTAGGAACAGGATGGGAGTTTATCCCAATCCACATGCTGCATAAGCGGGCATTACATGATCATGGAACTGATCCCATATCACTCTCTCTGAAAAGGAAAGACTTCGTCTTCTTCATTGTAAACACTCGGATCCACGCAATACGACAACAAGCTAGTGGCACTAAAAATAGCGGAAATATGGTAGTATCTGCATCAATCAATCTTGTAGGTATTATCATTGATCATCTTAATGTGTGAATCGACCATCAGTTATAAGTTTGAGTTTCCCCAAAGAACCTACAAAAAATTTCTCTTTCTTCAATATGATCCATACCAATCCAGCTTTCTTAGTCCAGTTACTTATTTCTGGGCTTCTAATATTTAGCATTTTATTAGTAATTCTTGTCCTCAACTGTTCATTTAAGATCTAGATCTCTTTGACTCTAAGATCGGCATCAATGTTAATCTTAATAGCTGAAAGTTAGGCCAAAACTTCAATGGAGTAATAGAATTTTGCTCATTTAAGTATATGAATGTTAACAGCTGAATCATTTCTTCTCTCGTCCAAGTTTTTTGCCATGACCAAGTTATGTTGCTTCCAATTTCATTGTGTGATGGCTTTCATTTCTTTTGTTGTGTTCTGTTGTTTCTGGTTTCATTGCATTGTCATTGTGTCTCGGCACTCACTCCGTCATTATAGCCTATTATATCTTGTCCCTTTTTGCTTACTTGTGGATGGCATATGGAGGTCAACAGTGCAAGAAAAACAGCTAGCTAAAGGAGGCGTCCATTGACGGGCATCAGAAGGTCTGAAACTTTGCAATGATTAAGTAGGTATACTATAATGTGTTTTAACATTCATTGGTTTGGATTGTTTGTGTTCTTTACATCTGTTTACAATTTTTGGCACGTAAAGTATAGTGATTAAGCTTAATAGCTGAAAGTATAGGCCATAACTTCAATGGAGTGATAGAATTCAGTATTAGCATTGATATACTTAAATACTGAAGCCATCATTGGCACGTCACTGCAAGTTATCAACAGACTATCGCTGAGAACTTCCTAGAAGGAACACTAGGTTCTATTTCATAGAAAATAAAAAAATTACCTCATGGAACTTAAGTAGTTTTGCAGCAATATTGACTGTTTCAGTCAAACCAGAAGTAATCTTTCGACCAAAACAGCGATACAACTCTCCTAAGCATTGAGCTAGACCTACAATAATATCAATAAAAGAAAAGTAATAAAGATCAGCTCTCACAAAGATTCACATAGATCAATACAGCTTCTAAAATGAACCAGAATAGAAAGGACATTTTAAATACAATTATAAAAGTATTCTAAAATAATGTATCAATGTAATAGGCCAAAAAATTGAATTAGAAGGAAAAAAAAAACAGAAAACTTACATAAATACAACAATAAGCAACAGGAAGAGAAGACCTACACAAAAAACCCAAGAAATTATGTTTCAGAAAGCCACAGTAGGAGAGTGAACGGAATGTCATGGATCGATGACCAAAATTAATGAGAGTTCAAGAAGTTGTGAAGTAGATATATTTCCAAGGGGAATGACACCCAAAATACCCCTCACCTATATAAGCCAACTCTTAAATTTATGATTTTTAAATCAAAAAAACGTAAAGTTTCTTTAACTACCCACAAAGCTTCTTACATAATCAAAACACCAACACATCAAACAGCAATTCCTCTTTAAATTGGAATGGCATTCACAACCCAAAATGGCATTTTATCAATTGCTATAATGAGGGATTCATGTAAAAATATACATGAACCTACTTATTGAGCCAGCAGACTCTACTTACATCAACTAGTGGATAATTACTAATGCAAAATCCCATGCCACTTCTCAAGGGGCTCTTTTATATGAAATATATATATATATATATATAATATATATATATATGCTAAGGCTCGCCTTTGGTGAATAGGCGAACCCTTGGTTTCTCTGATTTACAGTGATTTCGTCTTTCCTCGTCTTCATCTTCGTCGCCTGTTCGTCGTCGCGTCGTAGCGGCTCTCGAGTGAAGGCGTCAGGCTCTGGGGCGACATTTGAAGGACGTTTGGGCACAGGCTTATTCTGCGGCTCGTTCTTTCGTCATCCCGAGAAGCACGGGCTCCTTTCTGCGGCTCGTGGTTCGTTCTTCGTCATCCCGAGAAGCACCGGCTTCTTCTGCGCGTTCTTCGTCATCTCGAGAAGCACTGGCTTCTTCTGCGGCTCCTGTCCTCTCTCGCAGGGCGTGAGTTTTCCTCTGGCTCAAACGAATCGCCCACTGGTTGACTTCCCTTTAGGCATTTGCTCTTCTTCTACTGTCACTCTGCTGTCCCACAGCTTCCCTTTAGGCATTTGCTCTTCTTCTACTGTCACTTTGCTGTCCCACAGCCCCACCTCCCTCTTTTGGGATGGCTTCGGACAGATCGTATGTTGCTGCCCTTGTGGGTGTTCACGCCTCAGGTACATCTAAATCACCATCTTTTCCTCCTTCATTTGAGTGGGCGGAGAACATCAAGAAGCCTGGTAAGAAAAATGAAAAGTCTGTCATCTTTTTTACAGAAGACGATGGTATTCAACTTGCTTCCTCCTGTCGTCTAAATTTGATTGGAAAATTTCTATATGGTCATCCCAAAATGGAGCTCATTCGCAAAGAATTTGAACTTATGCACCTTGTTGGAGAGTGAAAAATTGGACTAGAGATGGGAGACAAGTTCTTATTGAAATTAACAATGAAGAAGATTACATGTGCTAATTTACTAGAAGGATAATCTGGATTGATAACAGAGCAATGAAAATTCTGAAATGGTCTGTGGATTTTAACCCATAGACGGAACCACCAATCATTCCAGTTTGGATTCGCCTCCCTGGTCTGAAATTTCATTATTTCTCTCAAAAAGTATTGTACTATATTATCTCAGCTTATGGAAAAACCACTCAAGACGGACATTCCTACCTTTAATATTTTTCGTCAATCTGAAGTCAGAGTACTTGTTGAAAGAGACATCACTTCACCCACTTCTGAGAAAATCTAGTTGGGCACACAGCACCATGGATATTAGCAGAAGGTAGAGATTGAGCATTTTCCATCGTATTGTTCGAACTGTTGTATGTTCGGCCACTCAAGTTCCCAATGTCACCATCTACACCCCCACCTCAAACCAAAAAAGCAAAGTGCTCCGTTAGAGGTTGTGATTCCATCTCATCCCGATCAGCACCACGTTTTTGACATAATTGATCATCAAAAGGATACCCCGAAAGACGTCAATATCCCCGTAGGCAATATGACAACCATTTAGTCCCCAGTTCTAGCTCTCCAGTCTTTGGAACCTCCTATCGTGGGGGAGAGGGAGATTCTTCAGACTCCGTCTGCCATAGAACTATCGTCGATAATACAGGTAGAAATACTTCTACCGCTTCACCACCACCTCATCAGGTTCAGAAAGATGTTAATATTACTCAGGCTCATGGGATCATGATGTGCAACGACCAACATCTATCCGACCACCTTTGGAATCTACTGATCAAATGAGTCAATCATCGGATGAGGAATGGTAGGTCTACACATCCAGGAGGAAGAAGAAGAATGGAGATCTACTCGAGCTCAGGAATCTAATTGATGATAATTTGGTTACTACGGGCAATGGTACTCACCTTACAAATTTGTTAACTGACTCACTTCCGAGAACTCGAGGCAGGAGGACTAAAGTGGGATGTTCCTAGCACTTTTGTGCTCTTTTGTGACTTTTTGATTTTTTGTCTTTTTGCTTTATTTGAGTTTTGTGTGAGTTGTGTTGTATGAGTTGGGCTTTCTTTTAGGCCCTCTCATACAACTTTTCTGTATTTTTTTCGTATTAATATATTTGCCCTTGGGCTTTTTTCAAATATATATATATATATATATATATCTGTGTGTGTGTGTGTGTGTACGTATCTATGTACGTATGTATGTATTATAAAAATCAACATATTGAGAATGTAAAACAATGCTTTCAACCCCTCCACCTAAGAGAACAAAAACGGTAGCAAAAAGCTTTATGATGGCTAGAGAACACTAGAGTTAATACATATGCTAGGACAACAGAGTGCAAATGCACCCCTATAAGTAATATCAAAACAAAATATAAAGATTTAAAATTAAACACAAAATAACTTCACTATAATGGCATGTCCCTTAATTAACATAAGTGAAACCATGTGATCAAGTCTCTTCCCAACATTCAATAACATTGAAAATTTGTTCAAAATTCAAAAGCAATCACCAGATCCATGTGGATATTTGAATTTAAAATAGAAACATCTCGGTCCAACAAACACGGATCTTAGGAAGTCCTCTTAGAAGCATCTCTCAAGAAGCCTCTTAACAACGACCTCTCTTGACAGGGATCAACTCAGCACTCCAGGTGTTTCACTTAACACTGCAATTTCTCTAAGTATACTTAGGCACTTATTTCTTGTTAATAATTACTATGAGCACAAACCTCAAAGCATTTATCGTCACAATATAGATTGCAAACAGGAGGGTTAGATCATTTCAATTCATATGGGATAACACACAATATAAATTGCAAACAGGAGGGTTGGATCTTCAATGTTCATCAGCACTTCAACCAATTCACTTAATTAATTCAACAAGAAAAGTTATACATTTGGGTCACACCCCAACTGACCCCTCCCCCTTTCATTTTTAAGGTTAATCATGATGCAACAAAGGTGGACGACTCAACAAAACACAATTCTCACCACACTGATTCTGACTTTCACAAATCAAGACGTAATGGGTAATGAATTAGTCTAGCTCCATCGTCACAAAAATTCTCAATCTAATTCATTCATAATTCATTGATATTTAGCGTGCATAATAATATCATCAAAATATATACATTGCTACTAAAAAATCCAACATATAAAAACATGTAACCAAAAGTCCGTACAGCTTCTAAAATTCTACAATCCAAAAGCTGCATAACATCACACATGTCTACTCAATCTTGTAATCCTTAGCCCTTCATGAAAATCAACAAGAAAAAGAAATGAGCTACAAGCTCAACAACATAATCAAAGCTGGAGTAAACTTCTATAAATTGAAAGAAAGCAACGTGCAAGTACAATCATAGGTCATATGTAAAACAAGAGTACATTAAATGAACATGCTTTAATCATGTGAGACATTTAAGGTAAAAGGCATGCAATGCAGTAAACAGTAAAAACTACAACTAAAATATATTTCATTCGTTCAAGTGCAATCATAAGAATGTTCATAATAATTTCATAATCAATAACTGTCATCTTAGAAATGTCACTTATAATTGCATAAGCTTTACCTAAATTTATTTTATTTCATTTCACATCATTGGATCATCACCCAGTCCCTCAACAAAAAATAACTATTGATAAAAATTGGTCCCTCGCAATATAACATTTATCAAAATACCAACAATTATATCCATGCCTAAATATCAGGAGCGATAATCATATCTTTCCCCGTCATTCGTACACGCATGTTATTCATATAATAGTCTGCTTATCACAACACTTGCGACATTTATTTATAAATAATTCATATAATAATCATTCATCATAGACAAATCATATATCATATCCATAAATAATATTATATGAACACCTGCAAGTCATGATTTATTAAACATGTTCACTAGATCAATAAAAGCAGTATAATGAGAACTATTATTGGTGTCAAGTCAAGTTTACATTCATATAACGTATGCATCCATTCAGCAATATGATAAAATTTCTATATAAAGCCGCATATCAAAAAATCACAGTGATCCTATAGAAAGATATTCTTCTTAATTTAGCACATGATTAATTCAATTTAATTGACGGAACAGTGCTACAATGGGTGTCCTTAAGCTCACCTCAAACTGGCCACCAAAAGTAAACCAGATGGAATCATGTATTTCTTAGAATTTCGATGAAATTCTTAGTTGGGGTCTTAATTAAACCCCAAACATAATTTACTTTCTTTCTTACCTCTACATGATTTCCTTGCATTAATACCTCTCCACAATTTCTTCCCATTCCCTTAATCTTCATTTCCCTCCTCTTCTGTATCTTTTCTCTTATCTAATTAAGGTTGAATTAGATTTGATAGACACAAAACTCTCAATTAATTAAGGATTAATTAGATTTGTCACTTAGATAAATATTCACTACAGTTTACAAAGCCTCCTTGGACGAC